TAATTATCTAGGTTTATTCAAATGTACAATTATATATATATTAAAACCAGATTTCGTATACACATAATTATCTAGAAAGGTATAAATGAGCGCACCTTATATAGTAAAATGTTGCACCTTATAAAACATCACGTTGCACCGTATAAAACAACACATTGCACTTTATTACCACATTCCACAATTAATGTCAACAGCTCCCGCCAGAATATTAAAGAATATAAAATTAAAAAACAGATGTACATAATACTGTAATATCCATCACATCATTTATCCAAAAAAAAAATACAAATTTGCTAACGTACAAAAATTTCAGTATTGCATCTTATATATCATTATATTGCACTTTATACAGTAATAAGCTGCACTTTTGATCGTATCATGTTGCACCTTAAAAAACAACACGCCGTCGTACCGAAAATTCAATAATTTTAATAATCAATCGAATAATATTAATTGGTTAAATGCTAGTTTTACTTTTTTCAAATAAACAGAATAACCGAATATTTCGAACTATATGAAAAATATTACTGATTTTTTATATATAATTTTTGTATTAAATACTATTTTTTATCTATATTTTTTATGTGTTGCGGTTGCACATTATGGTTATATATATTGCACCGTATATATCAATATGTTGCACTTTATACAACTTTACACTGTACCGTATAACACAAAATGTTGCACCTTAAAACGACACGCTACATATACCAAAATTGAAGTAATTATGCTAATCGATCGAATACTATTAGTTGGATAGATGTCGGATTTAGTTTTTTTGAATAAACAAATAACCAAACATGTTGAACTATATGAAAAATATTACCCTTTTTTATTTGTGTTATTTTTTATATCTATATTTGTGTATTGCGGTTGCACGTAAATACTTAACAAATTGCATAAAATCAAACGAGATCAATAAATAGAAATTTAGTACGCAATTTTATATTTCGCGTCAATTAATATATTTTTTTATACATCGGGTATTTCAATATGATCTTTTTTATTCAAATAACCAAAAATTTAAACAAACTATATTAAAAATAAAAAAAATTATATATTTTTTTTTTATTTTGATAACCAAAATAATCGAACGACCGAACTACATAAGAATACTATTATTTTTTATTATTGTATTTTTTATGTATCTTTATTTAATTAAAAACTAGTGAACTTTTAAATGTATATGATCGAGAAATATGATTTTGTAAAAAAACATGTCTTTATTTTTTAATGTATACATTGTCACATAACAATGTGCATTTATATAACTTTATTATGCATTAGTTAGACTTTTATTATATTGTAAATAGACCTCATGAGTTAAAATAAAATAAAAAAAACTTAAATAAATTGTAATTGAGCCCCTACAATATATCAAATTTCCAAGGAATAACCCCACAATTCCAAAAAGCAATTCAAGCCAATCCACAGTCCACCTTCGCCGGAGCTCAGCCACCGAAGTTCCAGCCACCGTCGATATGGTGACCGCCGCCGTCTTCATCGCCCAGACGCAGCCATAGCCCGCCGCTAGGACCCGACGACTCCATCTGCGCAAAAGGAAAAAAAAAATCGACCATTTAATCCTCACACATCGTCGCCGCCTTTGAGCAGGTACGGGAAGGAGGCGGTGGCGACGCGGCTGCGGGAGCTGTGATAAACGCGCTGAAGGTTCGCCGGCTTGTGTAGCCGGAGGTGGAGACCTTCTTCTCGCCGTCAGATCTGAGCATGAAGGTCAGCATTGAGAAGATATACACGACGACGGCGACGCGGTGGAGTCATGTAGGCAGGCGGCGAAAGACGGCGGTTGGGCGAGGACGACCACATAGTCGCCGGGCGGGGTCGACCACACAGGCCCCTTGGTGTATCGGAATCGGAGATCTTTCCACATCGATGGAATCGGGTTTGTGTCGGCGGCGATAAGACCGGTGAGGCTTGCGGCGGCAGCACTATTGACATCCGGCGAAGGCGACACCGTTGACGGCGGCGGCTCCATCCAGATTATGTGTGTTTGTGTGTGTGTGTGTGTGCCGCGTACGGTGTTTTGTGTGTGTAAGTGTGTGTTGTGTGTGTTTATGTGAGAGAGAGAGGGGGGTAGGTTAGAGGTGTTAGTGGTGGGGCCACTTGTGTGTATAATGTCTTATTTACCCCACTTAGTGGTCTAATTTTATAATTGACCATGTTGTGTGCAATTATTTGCGAAAATGCCATTCATATTTGGCTGGGATTTATTAAGTTTTGACTTGATCATGTCCATTGATTTGATAGATCCAATGATGTAGGATCATTCTTATTTCTTTCACTAGAGATCATTCTCATATGATCCCTTACCTATATATATAAATATAATATTTCATTATTTTTTAAGTAGTAACTATTTCTCGCTAAAAAAATTGTTGTTTACTAATTCTGAAAACTATTTACACTTTATGGTGTGTTTTAAAAATACAATTTAGGTAATTGCGGCTGATTTATTAAGGTAACAAATCACATTAAAATTTCTTTTGTACCTCAAGATATTCATATCATATATATATATGTACATATATATATTATATATTTGTACCTAACATATCGAGATATATCACATTCCTAACAAACATTAGATTTACTTATATATTTTTATATTAATCACATCAATAAATAATATTAATGTACATTAAATATATATCATTATATAAAAAAGGAATATCACTAATATAAATGTTATAAATAATATTAACATTATAGGACAATAAATTCGTGAATAAAATAATATTTGAATATTATCATGAACCAAAATGTGAAAATTATTATTTTTTTGTATTAAAATGTTATTTATATCAATATAAACGAATTAACGTCTAATACATTGTTAAAATAAAGTTTTTGCAAAAACATTTCTCTTAAGAAATCCCCGTGCATCGCACGGGATTCTCATTAGTTTATTGTAACACATTATGATCATTTTTTTTTTATAATTGATTATAAAGCTAACCAACTATGTTAGAATGTTTCGTTATTTATTACTTTGATTATAGGGATTGCAAATTCAATTATATTTGCAAGTATAATATTTCATAATAATTATATATATATATTCTGTATGGATATAATGACATAAGAGATGAATAAATATTTGAAAAAGTCTTTAAAGTCATAATTATTTCAAAAAGAAAAATTTACTTGAAAAAGATTAGGAACAATAACATCTTCATCTTTGATTGATTAAAAGTGGCCATCTATCTATATATATTGTCCAACATTGGTTGATTGAAAGTGGGTACTCATCTATATATATTGCCATGCATAACATATCCTAACGTTGTCATGCATGCATTATCATTTTCATACATGGATTTTCAAGACTATCCTAAATGTGAAAAAATAAATAAGTCCAGTTCAAATGAATTACGAAATGGTGATTCTTTCATTTTTACTTTTATCTTAATGTTATTTTTATATTTTCGACAATATTTTTATATAATTTATTTTTTCCTTTTGAGAAGTGATTTGAAACATTTAATGAAAGAATCATTCACTATTCATCCACTCACATAATTCTACCTAACTACCACTTCCAATCATTTTTTTCTTATTTTCTTTTTTTACGAAACGATAAAGATATTATTACAAAAAGCGAACCAAGTTCGAATACAACTCCAACCCAAACAGAAAAATGGAAGGACACGCCTTAAGCGGCCTAGAACCTCAAACAAACAACAAGGAAACCTCCACTGCCCAAGGGCCTAGAGAAGAAACCAACAAGAAAAGGAAACCAAACAAAAGAAACAAACTACAAAAGCACCAAGAAAAAACTGAAAAAGAAGCTACAGCAAGCCAACTACAAATCCGAAAAAGCCATCCAATCCTGATGAGCCATCTGCAAGGTAACTGTGAGTGGCATTAGAACACCTTGAAATATGCAGAGGTTACGAGACTTCCAGAGCCACCAGAGAACGTAAGTTGTAAGTTGGATACGAGCCTCTGATATCTCTGATGAATCAAGCTTACAGATATCATTCCACCAGCTTCTGAAAGGAAGAGTCTGACTAGGCATATTACTCCAAGAAACCAGAGAAATTTTCCACAACCTAGCAGCTCTTGAGCATGTGAATAAAACATGAAATATGGACTCAGATTCTTCACCACAAAAATTGCAGATAGGATCCATTTTCAAACCTTTCTTGATTAGATTAACTTTGACTGGCAGAGTTTCAGAGATGCACTTCCAGATAAAAAACTTAATTTTACTCACCACTTTAAGTTTCCACAACCTCTGCTTAACTTTTAGCATAGTAAGTCCAACTTTAGAGCTACAGCCAGGCAAATCCATTGCAAGCAACTTTTGAGCAGACAAGTAAGAATATGTGCTTGCTACTGTGAATACCCCCTTCTTATTAAACAACCAGTGCCTTCTGTCCTCTTGGTCTGCCTTTATGGAATTGATAGCCAGAATTGCTGCACTGTCCTGGGCATTATACACTTGTTTAACCAACCAGTCATTCCAACCTGTCCCAGAGGCATTAAAAAGATCTTTCACCCAGATAAGGTGACCTCTTGCAAGATTAATAAGCTCAGGTTTAGGCTGTGGCAAGCAAGGAACCCAATTAACATCCTCCAATCTAGTTGAAGCTCCATTCCTAATCTCTACTGCATACCCCTTAGCAAATGTAGGCAACACTTTCAGCCAGTTAGACCACAGCCAAAAGCAACTTGGAGTTATTTCAGCCTCGAAAATAGAGCAGTTGGGAAAATATTTTCCTTTCAAGATTCGGCTGACAAGTAAATTTGGCTGTGTGTAAATCCTCCAGAGCTGCTTGCAGATTAAGGATGTGTTAAAAAGATGAAGATCCATAAAGCCAAGGCCTCCATTTTCCTTAGGAAGAGACAGAAAATTCCAAGTTTTCCAGTGAATGCCTTTAGAATGATCATCCCCAGTGCTCCACCAAAAGTTGGAGCACAGTTTGATAATGTTGGCACACAGGGTTTTAGGAAGCAAGAAACAAGACATAGTGAACAATGGAAGAGCTTGCAGAACAGCCTTGATGAGAACTGCCTTACCAGCTTGGCTCAAAAGTTTTGATCTCCAGCTCTGCAGTCTGCCAAGCACAGAGTCAAGGATATACTGAAAAGTGTCCAGTTTTGATCTTCCAATACCGAGGGGAAGGCCCAAGTATCTTGTAGATCTATGACAGGTAATCCCAGGCATGGAGGCACAAATAATGTTCTTGAGATGAACTGGGGTTTTCCTGCTGAAGAAAACTGAAGATTTGCTCATATTAACAGACTAGCCAGTAAAGAGCTTATATCTTCCAAAAATGTCAGTGAGAGAGTTGACTTGATCAACAAAAGCTTTACAGAAGACTAAGGAGTCATCTTGCAAATAGTAAGTGTGAGATGGGAGGTCCATTTGGGGAGATCTTCAGAGCAGTTAGGTGACCAGAGTTCACAGCTTGAGAGATTAAGGCAGATAACATTTCAGCAACTATAAGGAATAGATAAGGAGATATGGGATCTCCTTGTCTAATTCCCCTTGTGGGAAGAACAAAGCCACTGACTGTGCCATTGATTTTAAAGGAGAAAGTGGAAGAAGTAATACAAATCATGACCAAATTAACAAAGTCTGCATGGAATCCTATCTTCAGCATAATTTTTTTGATACAAATCCACTCAACTCTGTCAAAAGCCTTCACTAAATAAAGTTTTAAGGCCATGAAGCAGTTATGAACTGAGTTGTGCCTGTTCAGATAATGAAAGGATTCTTGACCAATTATCACATTATCTAAGAGTTGTCTACCCTTAATGAAAGCTGATTGAGAGTCACTGATGCACACATCCAAACACTTTTGCAGCCTAGAGGCAATGATTTTAGACAGAATCTTATATACAACTGTGCAAAGACTGATAGGTCTGAATTGAGATACAAACTCTGGGTTATTGCATTTAGGAATAAGAGACACAATGGTGTGATTCCAGTATTTGTGAAGCAGACCTTTGTTATTAAAGAAACTGGAAATTGCAGACATTAAATCAGTTTTTATAATATCCCAGAATTTTTGATAAAAGAGTGCAGTCATACCATCCTCCCCAAGGGACTTCTCTGGCTGCAAACTGAAAAGAGCTGACTTTATGTCCTCTTCTGTAACCTGTTGTATCAACAATTGGTTCATATCTGCTGTAACAGAGGAGGGAACAAGAGAAAGGATTGAATCTCCTCCCCAGGAACCCTCAGAGGAGAACAAATCAGAGTAAAATTGGGCAATGTGGTTCTGAATAGCAAGCTGAATGTCACACACTGTGTTCTGAGGGGTGAGAAGTCTTGATATGGCATTTTGTCTTCTTCCCATCATAGTAAAAGCATGGAAAAATTTGGTATTGCTCTCCCCTTCTTTCAACCATTGAATCTTGGCTTTTTGCTGCCAATGGAGTTCTTCATTCTTGTGGGCAATATTTAACTCCTTCTTTGTGTCAAGCCACTCCTCCCAGTTCTCTATACTGCCATTCTGCTGCAGGCGGTCAAGCTTCTTTGAGAGATTATCAATTGAGGACTGGTTTTGAGATTTGAAGTTTGCACTCCAGATGAGAAGAGCCTGTCTAGTAGCCTTAATTTTTTCTTTGAGAATAAAGAAGGGAGTTCCAGAATAGTGACTATTACAGGCTGTTTGAATTACTTCATTAATACCTTCCCTTGAAAGCCATCTCTTATCAAAATGAAACCTTTTTTTCTTTCTATCAGCCAAAGTCCCTGATTGGAGAATCAACATTGAGTGGTCTGAGGCTGACTTGGAAATGTTAGAAATGGATGCTTGAGGATGAGAATTCAGCCATTGAGCAGAGGCAAACCCTCTATCTAATTTCTCTTCCACTAGCCCTTCTGAGAATCTGTTATTACACCAGGTGAATTTATAACCAATCATGTTTATTTCCTCCATCTCCATTCTGTCAATAAACGAGTTGAAGCCGGCCATACTAGCAGGGGATCTGAGAACACCCCCTCTTTTTTCATCACTGGTGCAGATGTCATTCCAATCCCCCAGAATATGCCATAGGTTTCCCCAAGAAGGTTGAGCATGAAGTAATTCTGACCATTGAGAGAGTCTGTTGTGGTAGCAGGTACTGAGATAAACAAAAATGCCCCAGGTTGGGAGAGAGTCCTGCAGCTTGTATTCAACAGCAATATAACAGCTATGAGTAATAATGTGAAGGATCTGAACCTCAAGGTTCTAGCACAACATCATACCTCCACTAAGTCCTACAGGATCAACAATAGAGACTCTGTTATCAAAGCCTAGTTTCCTTGCAACTGATTTCACAAAAGAAGAAGATTTTTTTGTTTCTGACAAAAAGGTAAAAACTGGGTGGTGAGTTCTAATAGACTCTCGAATTTGGGAAATCGTAGAGGGCCCACCCAACCCTCTACAATTCCACACCAGGGCTAGCATTGGTCACTTGGGTGCCATTCTAGGCTGGCCACCCCCACCTGCTTGGTATCCTTCTTTTGCTTTTTACCATCTTTCTGATTCTGAGAGTTCTCTACCTCATCTTCATTTGGTCCTTCAATAAGAACTCTGGGCCTCTTCCCTTGTGTGTCAGTTTCGATAGCCAAAGGATTAATAGTTTGCTCAATAAGTCTACTGAGCCTGGATGAAGTCCTTTTCCACATCTTTGGCTGAGAATTTGGGAGAGCCAAATGGAGACTATGATAAGCAACTGTTGAGTCTTCAATTTCCATGAGTTTGCTAGAGGATTGGACTTGAAGGAGTTGAGAATTGTCTGCGGATGCATCTTTGGGATGTTGCTCTGGTTCTGGAATATGATTAACAAGAGTTGAGATAACTACCTGATTGGATTGAGAGGTTGAGGCTTCGGAGCATTGTTTATTTATTTGAGATGGAGAGCCTTCAATAGAGAGGAACTTGTTACTGTCATGTTGGGGAGAGGCTGGGTTTGGATGAGGATTGCCTGAGTTGACAGGCGAAGATGGGTCGTCATTACGAGGAGCACTTTGTGAACCTGAAGAGTTAATACCCGCCCAGTGATTGCTCTCCGTAGCTCTCATCCAAGCTCCATATTGTCCCTCTTTTAAGGAATGGGAATGGATGTCATCCAATCTCTTGGAGCAAGATCGTTCTAAATGCCCAATTAAGCCACAATAGTGACATAGATTAACAAGACGCTCGTACTTAAAACCAACACTAGCTGTTTGATCATCCAATATGAGGTTGGCACAACGAGGAAGTGGCTCTGTCAAATCAACTGAGACCAGAAGCCGCATAATACGACCTCCATGACTTCCTGCTCCCACGATCACCACATTATGCACATCCTTGAAAACTTGCCCAATTTTCAGACCTACCTCGGTACTAAGCCAGTCCAGAGGAACATTGAATACCTGAACCCAGAGTTTGAGCTCCTGGAATGCAACGTGGGTGATTGATAGACCTCTCTTCCATTCCGAAAGCACTAGGTACTGGTTCTCGTAAGTCCAGTTGGTCCCTTTAGCCACTTTTTCTTTATCGTCTGAGCTCTGAAATATAAATTGGAAGAAATTTGGCCCCAGAACCTTTATCTCCATGGGCTGAGATAGCCGCCATATGTGGCTCATCACTCGTTTCACACCTATCCAACTGGTTTGACGATCGCTAACAATCTTCCCGAACAAACTCCTCTTGCATTCATCAGCACTAACTTTAATGTCTTCTCGTCTAATGGCGATAAGGTTATGCTCCTTCTCAGATAAGGAAACTCTCTGCAGTTTTTTCGAGAGATCCTCATCTTGTCCCACACAATTTGGAGTACTCATGGAACCCTAGAAAAGAGGGGAAAAAGAACAGAGACCCAACACTAAGACAACTGAAAGGAGAATTGAAACAGCGCAGCTATAACAACAAAACAAGTCGGGAATCCGAGGAACTGAAGATGATGGCGATGAAAGACGGCAAAGAAAAACGCTCTCCGACGAGAGAATGGCTATCGCTCTCCGACGAGAGAACATTAGAAATTTTCAATTCACATATTAGTTTAGGGTTAACTTCAATCATTTTTTTCTTACTTTACATCAAATCAACTTTAATTATTTTAATATATCCACTAACAACTAATCATACCACATTTTTTCAAAATTAACTATAGTTAAAAACTAAACCAAATAAAAACTAATCCAATCCATAAACAATCACCCCCTGATAATTAATTTACACATGAGCTAGATATACGAGTGTTGATGATAAGAAACATGATACAAATAAAAACATATTATCAAGTTAACTAAGCATATAAAAATAAAGCATAAACTACAGAACTAAAAAACTAGGAAAAAAAAAAAAGAAAAGAAAATTTGATTCTTACCCAACCAAAATATAAATGTTATAAATAATATTGACGTTATAGGACAATAAATTCGTGAATAAAATAATATTTGAAAATATTATCATGAACCAAAATATGAAAATTATTATTTTTTTGTATTAAAATGTTATTTATATTAATATAAACGGATTAACGGCTAATACATTGTTAAAATAAAGTTTTTACAAAAAAAATTTCTGTTAAGAAATCCACGTGCATCGCACGGGATTCTCATTAGTTTGTTGTAACATATTATGATCATTTTTTTATAATTGATTATAAAGCTAACCAACTATGTTAGAATGTTTCGTTATTTATTACTTTGATTATAGGGATTGCAAATTCAATTATATTTGCAAGTATAATATTTCATAATAATTAATATATATATATTTTCTGTATGGATATAATGACATAAGAGATGAATAAGTATTTGAAAATGTCTTTAAAGTCATAATTATTTCAAAAAGAAAATTTACTTGGAAAAGATTAGGAACAATAACGTCTTCATCTTTGATTGATTAAAAGTGACCATCTATCTATATATATTGTCCAACCTTGGTTGATTTAAAGTGGGTATCCATCTATATATATTGCCATGCATAATATCTCCTAACGTTGTCATGCATGCATTATCATTTTCATACGTTGATTTTCAAGACTATCCTAAATGTGAAAAAATAAATAAGTCCAGTTCAAATCAATTACGAAATGATGATTCTTTCGTTTTTACTTTTATCTTAATGTTATTTTTATATATTAGACAATATTTTATATAATTTATTTTCTCCTTTTGAGAAGCGATTTGAAACATTTAATGAAAGAATCATTCACTATTCATCCACTCACATAATTCTAACTAACTATCACTTCTAATCATTTTTTTTTCTTACTTTACATAAAATCAAATTTAATTATTTTAATATATCCATAACAACT